TCTTCTCCCCCCCCCCCCTCTCTCCCTCTCTCTCTCTCTCTCTCTCTCTCTCTCTCTCTCTCTCTCTCTCTCTCTCTCTCTCTCACCTCCCTTTGAAGCTTTTGCCCCCGGACAGGGAGGAGGCTTCCCTTTGCCGGCGTCCCGGAGCTTGGCTGATCCCAGCAGGGTCCGTGGCTCTGAATGGCCTGGAAGGCACAGCGGGTGAGGCCCACTCTCTGGCTTGATGTGGCCTGGCCAATGCCCAACCGTGGCCCCGCGTCCACAGGAATCAACAGCCTCCCCCCCTCAGCCAGGCTTGGGAGCTGAGAGACCCTTCCTTCCCTGCTGCTGCAGGCGCAAGGGCGGCCCCAGGCTTGCTTGCTCCGGGAACAGGAGCCAGGCTCGCTTGCTCCCCCAGGCCCTCCCTGCGGCCTTCACCCGCCGCTGCAGCACTCGCCTGGCTCCACAGCGGGGCCCGACGACGGCACTCCTTCTCGCTCGGGCCTGGGGGCAGGCTGGCCTTCTGCTGGGGTGTCATGCCGGGGCCAGTTGAGGGACTCAGGGCTCCTGCTCCACCGCGCACATGCAGCTCTTCAGGGCACCTCCGGCCCCGAGGGACATGGACCCGCCCGGTGAAGCATCGCGGGCATGACGGCGGCTCGTTCCCGGGAAGTGGCGAAGGAAGACGGCGGGACTGGCCCAAGCAGTGGGCCTGGAGCTCTGCGCGGTCGACTGGGGGGGGACCAGAGCACCCAGCCCCTGGGAAGTCCTGCATGTCCGGCAGCCGCCCCCACGTGGCGCTGGGGTCCTTCCGACCAGAGGAGCCCTGCTCATGAGTCTTCCTCCTCCTCCTTGGTTCCTCCACCGCCGCTCCCCCGTCTTCCTCGCACTGCTGGCAGCTACTAGTGGCGGTCCCACCAGCGGCTTAGAGGGCATGGAGGGGGGCATTTTGCCGCCCTAAGGGCCAGCCTGCACTCTAGGTGAATGCCTAGTTCACCTAGCGAGTGAGCTGGCTTGCCAGAGCCCCAGATACCCCTGGATCGATTCTACATTATACACTATGGGGACCATTGACTATAATGGTCCCCATAAGGTATAATGGAGCAAAAAAAATTACAGGTTTCCCGAATATTTCATGAATCTGAATACCAATATTTTGGGGGTTCAGTATACCCGAATCTCAAAAATACCCAGGTTTTTTGCGCACCCCTAATAGTGAATCAATGGGCTTTAACTTTAACATTGACCTTGGCTGCCAACATTTTCCCATAAAATGTGTTTGGAAATTTGGATCTTATTCTCAATTTTCTCACAAGTCCTTCTCCCAAATGGAGTCTATAACCCATGTAATATTTTCTCCCCGTCCATCTGTAACTCAGAGCAAAGTTTACAAGCATAGGCAGCTGCTTGGAAGGTAGCCTGCAGCTGAGTGGTCGCATGACCAGAGAAGCAGAGAGAGAGTGTGTGTGATGTAATGGTTTTGGAATCTTCAGTTTTGAACTGGAGGGAGGAAAAAATGGTTGGAAAGGGGTTTTTTAACTGCTGGCCAGAAGAGGAAGGGGAGAAAGGGGGCTCTCAGATGAAAGAGAGAGAGTGTGGACCCTGTAAGCTGCTGAGGGGTTTAATGATAGAAACTCCTGGTGTATAACTCAGACACACATAGTGCTCCTGTATAAGAAATCCTGTTGGGGAAGGTTATACAGTTCTAGCTAAGGACCAACTGCAAGTGAAGCAGTTTAAAGAGATGCTAGACTGTGGGAGAGCCTTCAATAGAACAGAGATATAAAAGATGGTGTGTGTAGGAAGGGTGTGGTCTGGAAGAAAACTAAAAGACCTAAGAGCAGTCCAAAGTTTTAAAAAAAAGGAACCAAAGAAAGGCTGAACAACAGTTTGACTCCCTGTATATAACCCTGTCCCCCGGTGTCATTTTAAATAAACTTGTATTTGCATTTAAAGTGGAGGGTGTCATAAACCTCTGTGTTTGCCTATGACTAAAGAAACGCCTTGGCAAGAATTTTTGATGTTTATTATGTGTTATTATCCTAAACAAATTATATTGGGTTTTCCTTAGGGAGCGTGCAGTCCAAGAACTTCGCCGCCAGAGTCTTATAGCCTCATACCATCCAACTTCTACTATAAGGTCATCATCACCTGAACGTTCCTGCCGCTATTCTCCTGACAGGACTCTAGACAGATCTTTGGAAGGGTGAGGATGTCATGTTGCTCAGTCATGAAAAAATGTGAGCTCTGGGCAAGTGGAAACATTGTATTCCTTATTCTTAGTTATGAGAAATTGCTAATATAAAATCATATAAAGAAAGGACATTTTGATACAGGCTACTAGGTGTCCTATCACAGATCATAAAAGTCAGGACAAAATCAGGTGCATTAGTGAAGTCAGATGAATCAATGGGCTTTAACATTGACCATGACTGCCAATATTTTCCCATAACAGTGTCTGGAAATGTGAATCTTATTCTTAGATTTCTCACAAGTCCTTCTCCCAAATGGAGTCCACATCCCATGTAATAATTTCTCCCCATCCATCTTTAATAAGATTGCCTATGACTAAAGAAATGCCTCGGCAAGAATCTTTGCGGCTTATTATGTGTTATTATCTTAAACAAATTGTATCGTGTTTCCCTTAGGGAGCGTGCACTCCAAGAACTTTGCCGCCAGAATCGTACAGCTTCATACCATCCAGTTTCTATGAGAAGGCTACCATCACCTGAACGTTGCTGCCACCATTCTCCTGACAGGACTCTAGACAGATCTTTGGAAGGGTGAGGATGTCATATTGCTCACTCATGAAAAAAACGTGAGCTCTGGGAAAGTGGAAACATTGTATTCCTTATTCTATTAGTTGTGAAAAATTGCTAACATAAAATCACATAAAGGACATTTTGATACATGCTACTATGTGTCCTATCAGAGATCATAAAATTCAGGACAAAATCAGGTGCATCAGTGAGGTCAGGTAAAAAAATGGGCTTTAACTTTAACATTGACCACAGCTGTCAACATTTTTCAATAACAATATGTTTGGAAATTTGAATCTCATTCTCATGTTTCTTACAAGTCCTGCCAAATGGAGTCCATATGCCATGTAATAATTTCTCCCCATCCATCTTTAATAAGATTGCCTATGACTGAAGAAATGCTTTGGCAAGAATCTTCACTGTTTATTATGTGTTATTATCTTAAACAAATTGTATTGTGTTTTCCTTAGGGAACTTGCACTCCAAGAACTTTGCCACCACAGTCTTACAGCTTCATACCATCCAACTTCTACAATACGGTCCCCATCACCTGAATGTTCCCGCCGCCGTTCTCCTGACAGGACCCTAGACAGGTCTTTGGAAGAGTGAGGATGTCATGTTGTTCAGTTATGAAAAAATGTGAGCTCTGGGGAAGTGGAAATATTGTATTCCTTATTTTATACAGGCTACCAGGTGTCCTATCGGAGATCGTAAAAGTCAGGAAAAGATCTGATAAACTATATAAATATAATTTATATTGGGTATTCCTACTTTTCAGTAAATATATAGCTGTTTCTCACCAAGTAAATTCTGCCTTTTGTTCTGACAATATTCTATGCAAACTTTGTTAAATCTCGTTTTGACCAGTATTCTAGAATGATATACATTAGAATGGTAAACTTCTTAAGTTATACAGGGTTATGTCTAATGGCTGAAACAAACAGAAATTAGTAACAAACATTCTTATTTTTTTCACTTGTTCATTATATTGATTATGTTCACAACGGGTACAGCAGTAGTGTCATTGAGAAGGAACAACTTTACATGGAGAGTAATCCTAAACAGATTTGTATGCCAGCTTTCTGCCAAATTAGGGTCTTCAAGGCAGCTAACAATTAAGAGAATAAACATCAGCTTTTTAGAACAGTACATATAAATAAAACGGATAATTAAAAACAAACAAGGATTGCTCTCACACACACAAGTCAATGCTTTTGCACTCTCTGAATTAGAGATTTCAAATAATGATTCACACTTTTCACTATATACTTCCAGTAACCTCTCCTGAAAGAAAAAGATGCAAACTTCTCCTCTGAGCAGAGGTATATTTTATTGTTGCACTAGGAGAACATGCAATATGCATCTTTTTAGAAATATAGGGAGAAGTGTGAATCACTCGTGTGTCCTTTTTTGCCTGCATTTCAGAGATTTATTTAACGTATTTATAAACCTGCCTTTCTCCTGACAGCCTAGGATCTTCATCATGGTCTCAGTGCATCACATGTATGGGTTAAAGCACTTGCGCCCCCTCAGATTCGGGAAACTTCTAACAAGCTCAAAGATCTGGAGCCCCCTCCCAAGCATGTGCAGGAACTCCAACACACATGCTCAGAGGGCGGGGCTCCAGTATTGCTGCGTATTGGGTTCGACGCATGGAGAAGCTGGACGCTTCGTGATTAACAGCTCATAGTTTATTGGTATACAACACAAAACACTTTACCGGCTGGGGCAGCCAACTATATACAGTCCCTGGGGTACACCCACCAGTCCCATTGGAAGGTTTGAACTTCCTGCCACAGTTCCTATAGGTGCTAACTGGGAGGCTCAGGATCCTAGTCCTTATTGTTCTTTTGGAGCCAAGCTCGGGTTGCATACCACTGGCGCCTAGTGGCGGTCAGCGGACATAACAAGTATCCCACCAGTTCTCTTCTGACCGCCGCACTGATCAGTCAATCTGCTTCAGTTTGGGAACTTCTTTTGTGAGGGAAAGTCTTACCTTTAGATTTCTCTCTTTTTTCCTAGCTCAGTTCTCCTTTTTAATTTTTTCGCTTTAAAAAGTTAGATTTTTCTTTTCTCTTTCTCTGACTTCTGTTGGACCTCCCCCCCCCCATTTTTTCCTTTTCGGTTTGCCCCCTCATCTATGGCAAATTGTTGGGGGTTTTTTTAAGCATTGCACCCAGTACAGGTACAAGGTTGCTCCACCGGACGGCCATATCTTGTGTCTCGTCTGTCTCAGGGAAGTCTATAGAACAGATACTTATGTTTGCTGCACAAATTTTTCCAACTAAACCCGGGAAAACAGAGTGGCCAGGCTTCAAGCGGCCCTCCTGGAGTCGGCACTCTGACCCATATCCATGGCTTTGACTTCTGCTGAGGTAATTCTGTCCTTGCCGTCAGCAGATTGGTCTCAGTTGGCACCAACAGATCGGCATCGGTCAACGCCAAAAGGATCGGCCTCAATCATCAGATGCATTGCCTGCTACGGTCACTGAGGTGGGTCCTTCAACATCGAAGTCTGCGATGCTGACAGCACCGATGTCTAAGAAGAAGGACAAGAGCCACATTAAGGTTAAACATAAGCACCTTAAGACTGGCTCCATGATTGCTGCAGTGAGTGCTGCTATGGGCCCTGACATGCCTACAGCCACTCCTCTCGTCTGCTCAGCTTCACCAGACATGACACACGTTCCACCAATCCCAGCTATAACGCTGCTGAATTCACCCATCTATCAGTTAGATCCTCCATTGGATCGTTCAGTACCTACAGGCCTTTCATTTTCCGGGTCAGATGTGGAAGAGGTGCCTATCCCATATCAGGTTGCTACCCAGGAGGGCTCCCACTCCTCAGCCTCCAGCTGCTCTCAGTCCCGATCTTCAATCAGCGTCAGCCATCGACAGAAGCCTAAGTGTAGACTGGACTGCTCGCCTTCCTATCATAGCAGTTCCTCACCGAGGCCCCGGGATTGATCTCTTCACAGCAGACCACCCAATGCTTCTCACTGCCACTGTCTTTCGTGATGGTTTTTTGGGACCAATGGCAGCTACAATACCTTTATAGTGCCTTCCCTTTGGCTTTGGCACTTCCCTGGCTAAACTCTGGTCACCCACTGGATTGGGATCAACGCTCCATAGTTTCTCACCATCCTTGCTCCCCTCCACTGGACTGTCCTCCATCAGCCCCATGGCTATCAGCCATCCCTACTACAGCCTTGACACCGATGGCCCCTCCTGTTCTGCGGGCATCAACACTGAAGCAATTGATGCTGACAGCCCCAAAACAGCCAGGTACACCGTTGCCTCCATGCCCTCTTCACAACTGTCCACCACCGCCTGACTTGTCCACAGTGGGAAATTTGTCTTGCTCATCTGGGAGTGAGTCTGAGGAGGAGGGCTCGGGGGTTCCCACTACTCGGTCGGATCCTTCTCCAAATCAACATGTTGCGGAGGATCTTCCAATCTCGCCTTCGGAGGATCTCCGGTCATATGGAGATTTAATAAAAAGAATGACTCATTCTCTGGCATTGCTATTTTTCAACCACAACCCCAAGTGACTGATGCTGTGTTCAACATTATTCAGTTGGATACTTCTACACCAATTGCACTGCCCATGACTCAGGTCCTTCTTCAGCCAGCCAAGTCACATTGGGATCGACCATTCTCTACTCCCATTTTCACCAGAAGATTGGACCATATGTATAGAATCCAGAACGCTGATGTAGAATTTCTTTGTGTTCACCCCAAGCCTAATTCTATGGGTGTTACTCTCTCATATAAAAGTAAGAATTTATTTTTATTTTATTTTATTTACATGTGATTTATATACCGCCCATGACCCCTAATGGGTCTCAGAGCGGTTCACAGAGTACTACAACAACGTAGTTGATGCCTATCTAGGGCCACAATGCAGTGAGGGGAGGGGATATCCTACCAGCACCCTTTTTACAGCATAGTCTTTTCTGCTCCGGCAGCTTCGTTGTTTTTCCTGCGATCCGGATGGCTGTCGGCCAGACTCGAGCAGGCTTTTTCTTTTGATGTTCTCTCCTTTGGAGCGCCGCGTCTCGGGTGCAGCTTTGCGGCCAATGTCCCAACGGCTCCTGCCGCGCTGCGCCCTGCGTCACCGTGTTGCTCCGGCTCCAACTCCGCCTCCGCTCGGTCCGGCCGCTGCCTTCCTGGGTTGCTCTCTGCTGCCATTTCTTTCTCGCCCTCGCCGCCGCCGTCTCTCCTTTTCCTCGCCGCTGCCGATCGCCTTCCCAGCGCAGAGCCAGGAGGAGGGTGCCCCCTGCCACCTAGGTCAGGTACCCATTCCTCTGTTGTTATTAGAGCCGCTGGGTTGGCAGGAGCTGGGACGGGGGCTGGAGGCTCAACCCGGCCGCGGTGGGGATTCAAACAGCCTTTATGGCTGTTCACTACAGATGTTAACCGCAGGCGTCGTATTGCCTGCGCCACCACTCCCTGATACGGTCTACTCCATCAGATAAAGAAAGTAAAAAAATGGACACTTTTGGTCATCGTTTTTATTCGGCAGGGGCTTTGGGTGTGAAAACAGCAAATTATGTTGCTTGTATGGGGTGCTATGAATACTCCTTGTGGGAAGAAATGTCAGCGTTCCTTGCACTTCTCCCAGAACAACACTGGGTTGAAGCTAGGAAGGTACAGAAGGATAGTATGATCTTATCAAAGCAAATAATAAACTCGGCCAAGCATACCCTCAATACCTGCTCCAAGACAATGTTGTTTGTAATGGCACTTTGTCGTCATTCCTGGCTTCGTACAACATCTCTTCAAACTGATACCAGGGCCTATACAAAGGACTTGCCCTTCGACAGCCAAGGCCTTTTTCACTCCGCTACTGACTCTGTTGTACATGGATAAAAGTCGGAAGGCCTCTCAAAGTCTCCCCTTCCTATTGGCCTCATAGACCCAGGACATGGTCACGCTGAAATAGATAGTCCTATGGCAGACAATCTCCAGAGGATTCTTGGAAATCAAAGCAGACTCAGTCATCCTTTAGATCCCATTACACCCAAAGGCATAAATTCCAACAGCCATCTCAGCAGATAAAGTTTAAGGTGGGCAAGAACACCAAACAGGGCCTCTGACTTTTTCACCACAAGCCAGTTGTTAGTCTCCTCTGCCCACCTCCCGTCACCACTTGACAGGGTCTCTGCTACCCTGCCTGGAACCTAATTACATCAGATTCTTGGGTGCTTTCCATCATCACCAAGGGCTATGCAATAGAATTCATTCAGATACCTCCTACCCCCCTTTTCGTCAGGACTCCACCATTTGTAGTTCTTCATCAGGAAGTTCAACAACTACTGGCCAAACAAGCAATAGATGTGGTTCCTGCTTCACAATGGAGACAGGGTTTTTACTCCCAGTATTTCACAGTTCCAAAGAAGGATGGAGGTCTTTGCTCTATCCTCGATCTCAGGGCCCTGAGCGAATTCATCACATACCGCAAGTTCAGGATGATGTCTCTTCAAAACATACTGCCTCTGTTGGAGTTTGGGGTGTGGATGGGCACGATCGATTTGCAGGACGCTTACTTCCATCTCAACATCTTTCCTCCTCACAGACATTCCCTGAGATTTGCAGTTGGGGGGGGA